GCAGAAGTAGAGTGAAATTTCCTAAGAGCCTAGAGGGTTCCCTACCCCCGTCATCCTTGAGCTCGCAGCACTGATGTGGAGGAACAGTCACCACAAGATGGCCCCAAGCCACAAGCTGCATTGTGAACCCAGGTACCCTGCGCCCATGTACTACGTGGGTGTCTGAGGGAACCCTCCCAGTCAGACTGCCAAATTCTCCAGTGTGCCCTGGGATATCCTAAAAATTATTTCTATGATTATGAAAAATAAAACACACCTTGTGCACCGCTCCCCCCCGCCCAAAAAAAAATTCTAAGGCAGGATGGAAGATCCTTCTAAAAGACAGGGTAATTTTCTCCCCAGATGTTTCCAGACCAGCACCGTCCCCACTTTCAATTTCCAAATCTCACCCTCAACCCCCACCCCATCACATTCTGACTGGCCAGACTGCTTCACAGTTGTTACTTTTTCTCTTTTAGAGACAGTGTCTTGCTCTGTCACCCAGGCTGGAGTGCAGGGGTATCATTTTGGCTCATTGCAGCCTCAACTCTGCTGGGCTCAAGCAATCCTCCTGCCTCAGCTTCATGAGTAGCTTGTGTGCACCATCATGCCTGGCCAATTTTTTTATGTTTTGAAGACATGGGGTCTCCCTATGTTTCCCAGGCTGGTCTTGAACTCCTGGGCTCTAGTGATCCTCCCACCTTGGCCTCCCAAAGTGCTGGAATGACAGGAGTGAGTCACAACGCCCAGTGGTCACTGCTTGGTCACATTTAGTGTTCAACAGCATCAAATAAAACCTTGGCGTGCGGCCACCCATCATTGTGAACAACCCTATTCACGCGACTTCTCTGGGCCCTCCACCCCCTTCCCTGATCCGCCCTGCCTCTGCCTTCCACGGCCACTAAGCAAACATTTGCAAGTCCATCTCTGCAGACCGCAAGTGCTGAGTGATCCTCTGAAACTCTGATAACCAGATGAGGAGGGCCTTTCTCCCCATGAAACCCCTTAAACTCCTCAGAGACCCCTTTTAATCTGGTCATCAGATGTTTTTGAAAACCAGTGCAGAGCCTGGGGAAGGCATCCATGGAGCTATGTGAAAATGATCTCCCTGCTTTGGGACCTTACCCACCAGGATTCCGTTAACTTCCTTTGTTGTCCAAGAATGTGAGTTAGGAATCCCTCCAGGAGACAGGAGGGGTGATTCCAGTGAAGAAGAGAATGAAAGCTTTTAGACATAGTCCCTCTGTGCCAAGAACAGCTTTGGAGGCTTACAAGCGCTCACAGGACCATCAAAGGGAGTCGGCGCTGATACCTGTTGTTGACTCGGTGAAAATACTCTATCTCAGGGTTATTGCCATTGAAAACATCGCCTCTATCTGGAATCTTTTCTACACCAAGCATACAATTGCTGCATTCATCTCTTGGGAGGAATCTGTCACCAAATCCATAGGCTGCCTCTGCCAGCAGGCGGGGCAGGATACCAACTTGCCCGACCTCCGCCCACTGGGATGAGCCAGGATGGAGTTCCTGTGTTAGTAAAGCCCCAAATGTCTCTCCTACCCCTGTGACTACACCCTCTTCCTCCCCCACCCCACCCCTCCCCTCTCACCCTCATAATCATGGCAAGAGGAGGGGTGGAAGTAGAAATTTTCACCTCAATCAATGTTTGGGGACATTTACATAGACATAGGATGTGCTACTATACCCAAGCAAAGGAAAACTAGGCTGGGTGCAGTGGCTCACACCTGTAATCCCAGCACTTTGGGAGGCCAAGGCAGCAAGGCAGGAAAATCCCTTGAGTCCAGGAGTTCAAGACCGGCATGGGTAACAGAGTGAGACCTTACCTCTACAAAAAATTAAAAACTAGCCAGGCATGGTGGTGCACACCTGCAGTCCTAGCTACTCAGGAGGCCGAGGCAGGAGGATCAATTGAGCCCAGGAGTTGGAGGCTACAGTGAGCTATGATTGTGCCATTGCATTCCAGCCTGGGCAACTGAGTGAGTGATGCAATCCCAGCACTTTAGGAGGCTGAGGTGAGCGGATCACCTGAGGTCAGGAGTTCAGGACCAGCCTGGCCAACATGGTGAAACCCCATCTCCACTAAAAATATAAAAATTAGCCAGGTGTGGTGGCACTCGCCTGTAATCCCAGCAGCTTGGGAGGCTGAGACAGGAGAATTGCTTGAACCTGGGAGGCAGAGATTGCAGTGAGCTGAGATTGCGCCACTGCACTACAGCCTGGGTGACGGAGCAAGACTCAGTCTCTAATAATAATAATAATAACAATAATAGGAAGGAAGGAAGGAAGGAAGGAAGGAAACTCGCCTTGTACCATGCCCTCTATATGCCAGACATATGCTATGTCACACAATTAATCTGATAGTAACACACTGAGGTTGGTGTTTCATGGAGGAGAAAATTGTCCAAGGTCATAGTGGCAAAAGTGAGACTTGAACCTAAGTCCCACCAGATGATGGCAAGAATGTGGGCAAACCACTAAGATGCTGAGCTTCGGGCCACCTGTCTCCACACTGGGAATCGCAATAGCACCTCACTGACCCACCTCCTAGCCCTGTGTGGAGGGAAGACAATTGCAAATGCAAAGCTAATTCGCAAGTGTCAGTGGGCTGGGAGCACCTGAGAACAGGGAGATCCTCCACTGTACCACAGTGTGCCCAGCACCCAGATCCACGCTGGGGCGTTGTCAGCCCTCTACCAAGTAATCAGCCCTCTACTGGCGTGGAGTGAAGCCATGCCCACACTGTGTCCCATGGAAAGCAGAGGAGAACTCTTCTCATGGTGTGGATGGAAGGAGTGGGGGCAAGCAAGGCATCCATCACACGGCAGACCACCCTAAGCAGAGATGGAGCACACAGTTCTAGGAGTGGGAAGCAGATAAGGGGTCCCCCAAACCTCATCTTTTGGGTCAACCAAATTCATGGCAGCCTAGTCCAAAGAGCCCTGTGGCCCTCTCACAAGAGCGAGAAATTGAACTGAGGCCCACTGCACATCTCGCTTTAATGGGACAGCTGAGCCCAAGCGTTGGTAGTGGGGGCAGGGCAAAGGGGCTGATGGTGGCCTGCTGCCAACCTCAAAGAAACCACATGGCTCCTGACACAGGGGCAGACAAGCAAGGTGTGGTGGTTCTTGCCTGTCATTTCAGCTACTCAGGAGGCTGAGGCGGGAGGACTGCCTGAGCCCAGGAGTTTGAGACCAGCCTGGGCAATACAGCAAGACCCATCTAAAAAAAAAAAAAAAAAAAAAAAAAGCAGGGTGTGGGAAGGACAGATAAGACCCTGAGACCTGGGTTTGACTAATCTAAGAGTAAAAATGGGCCAGGCATGGTGGCTCACACCTGTAATCCCAACACTTTAGGAGGCCAAGGCAGGCAGATCACAAGGTCAAGAGTTTGAGACCAGCTTGGCTAATACGACAAAACCACATCTCTACTAAAAATACAAAAATTAGCCAGGTGTGGTGGCAGGCGCCTGTAGTCTCAGCTACTCAGGAGGCTGAGGCAGGAGAATCGCTTGAACCCGGGAGGCAGAGGTTGCAGTGAGCTGAGATCACACCATTGCACTCCAGCCTGGACTCTGTCTCAAAAAAAAAAAAAAAAAAAAAAAAAAAAAAAAGTATTTTAAAAGGATAAAGTGCCCTGGAGATGGAGATAAGACAGAGAATCCCCACAAAACCAAGTCAGCCTTGTCGCCAGGGCATCTCCTGTGTTCTGTCCTGAACATTAGCGTCACCTCATGGAAGGCTCCCCTGACTCTTGCTGAGAGAGGTCTTCACAGTCCCAGGACACCTCATCTGTACCTGTGTCATGACACTAACTGCATTCAATCTTCTGTTGCAAGTATTTACATTCCTATTTCCTCTTCCTCTGGAACTAAGTGCAGGACCAGAGACTTACTATTCTTGTGTCCTTCTAGGGCAGCTGCGACAGTGCCCGGTGCCTGGGGAGTGTTTGACAGATTCAGGTTGAAGAAACAAAGGCAGGAACAGGCAAGGAAGGGAATGAGGGGACCAAGGAAGGTCGGAATCAGGACTCGTGGACCCACTGCCGCCTGCCCTACCATCCATCACCCCATCGTCCATCCCCCAGGTTCTAACATGGTCCCGTGGGGTCCCAGACACATTGGGGGGGGGGGCGGCGTTTCAGTCTAGGAGGAAGCCTTTTCCCAGGCCCTGTGGCCCTCCCCACCGGCGGGAAGCGATCTTTCCAGGTGATCCTGCCGGATCGTATCTGCAGAACTACAACTGAGCCGCTCTCTCGGGTGATTTGTATCTCAAAACCACGCCAAGGCTGTAAATCAGGTGGTAGGAAGCTCTGTCTCCTGTTTTCCTGCTCAGCCAGACGGAGACAGAATGTACTGCCACCGGCTCCCAAATCTGGAAAACCAAGTCTGATTTAAGACGAGATGTTTTAGCAGGCATTAGCTCAGGTCAAGGCTGGGGAGCCGGGTCTCTGCCTCTGCCTTCCTGCTCCGAAGCAGAGAGAAACAGCCACCTCCTCCCCAGCTGGGGGCTGAGTGGGTGGAGAACCTGAAAGCCAGGTGCCTAACAAGCCCTGGGGTTCGGTAGCAGCTGCTTAGAGCTCCTCCCCGGGAGGCTCCGGAGGGGAATTTTCCACTGCCCAGTTCAATTTAGCTCAGCTATACCACGGCCTTGACTGTTTACAGTGGGGAGGGCAGGGCGGTGAGGGAGCCCTGTAAGAGTACTCTGTGCAAGAGGGCCGCGGCCGAGCTAGAGGGGTCTGCAGGGGGACAAGGTGTGGCGGAGTGGGCTTCAGGCGCAGGTTTTGCTTGTTTTCACCACGCCCCAGGTCTAGCTTACGGCCTGCAGCTGGGATGTTGGGGCTGCGCAGAGGCGCTGTGGGTGGGGACCAGGCCCCCTTTTGGGTAGGGAGGGGAGGAGTAGGGCCCTGGCTGCGGGGAATTGGGAGAGAAGCCAAGGCGTCTCCCCCCTCCCTGTGTTCCTGCCTTTCTCAGGATGTCTGAGATGCCCAGCGTGGGTGAGTGCACCCTCCCTCCCTGGCTCTGCTCCTCCCCCTCCCCGGAACCACCACCCCCTCAGCCCTGAGCTGCCGATGCCCTCGGGGTTCTGTTTTCATTCCAGGCTGTGGATCCGGTCGTGGGAAGCAGGTAGGAAACCATGATTCTGGGGGTTAAATGAAGAAATATATTTAGCGCGCACAGAAATTTAGAAATTTAGAAAGCCAAATATTGGGTTAGCCGCCAGGAATGGAGAGGGAAAAAACCCAAAGCAAACAGCAGAGGAAAGAAATTCCTACCAGACAAGGTTCTTATTCATTCTCCCAACCCCAGGTGCAGGGGCCTGCAGGGGAGAGACCCGCTGAACTTAAGACTCTGATCAAACCCCAAACTCGGATCCTAGGCTGCCCATGGGGCCGGCTGTTCATATCTGGATTGGCAATGGCACCCCAGAGCTCACTAAGTTGACCCCAAAGCCCTTTGGGAGCCAGGGGTGGGGGTGGGGAAGGAATAACAAAGTAGAATGTTCCTGGTTTGACCTGGAAAAATCAGTTTGACCTGGGCCTCATCTACGGAATGTAAGGGTTGGATTATGATTTCACAGGTCATAGCATCCTACTATTCTGTTTCTGCCTAAAATAAGAATGAGTGTGAGGAATAAGAATGAATGTGAGGAAGACCACAGAAGTTGGACCCACCTGTTTCTGAGGCCTAGGGAGATGCAGTGATAGATTTCAGCTTATTCCCCATTCTTGGGTTTCTGTACCTTGACCCTCCATAGAGTAAACTTCTAGGTTCTGAGCTGACTCCTCGGAAACCCTAGACTCCAGGGACGCGTTTCTAGCACCTGCTCAGACTGCTACTCAGTTAACAGCCTGGCCCAGAAAGATTGCAACACCCAGCCTGGCTCCCAGGCAAGCTAAACAGGGCTTGATGATGGGAAGAGGTTAAGGGGTACATGGAGAGAAAGAAGAATCAGAAGGCGGAAACATCATAGACCACCTGGGATGCCTTCTGCAGGATCACACAGAAGGCAAAATTTGTCCTCCTGAATCCAAGATGCCAAGACACATTTGTGTTGAGCCACTGAATTATCTACCCCTTCGGTAGATGTGGCTGGGGAAGAGCTGCAGTAAGAGGCTGGGTTCCAAGCAATGAAGGACCTTTTGAAGCAGAAGGTGTTAGGGTAGGGGCAAAGGACTGAACTCTGACCAACCAGAAGAAAGGAAAAACTGGAATTCCTTTCCCCTAGGTCTGCCTCTCTTTCTCAGGGTCTCTATTTACTTCTTATGCACTTGACTCTCTGCTTCCCTCTCCCTTTCCTTTCCACAAAGGAGCCCAAGCTTTAGGTGGATCTGGCACCCCCGCACCTTGTGGGCAGGAAATCTGAGCACAGGCATTTCCTGTACGCTGACAAATGCCCACTGCAAAGAGCCCTGGCCTGAAGGTGGCCCTGTCTCCTAGTTATGTCCCTCCTCATCCTTATCTCCCCAGGCTCCAGCCCTCACCAGCAGGGACTCAACAAACATTCATCTGTCAGATGAGTCATGGGACCAGAAGCTTGGGAGAAGACATGCAGAGCCAACCACTGACAAAACTGGCAAATGAAATACATGCCCAGAAACCTGCTCCATCCCCGGCATTCCTTAAGTCCTGTAAAATGTACCACCTTTCACAGTTTTCAGAAACTAAAAGTCATCCTTGACATCCATCTAATCAGTCACCTCTTATTTATCTCCCAGATTCATTCTTTTTTTTTTTTTTTTTCCTTTTTGAGACAGAGTTTTGCTCTTGTTGCCCAGGCTGGAGTGCAATGGCTCTATCTCAGCTCCCCGCACCCTCCGCCTCCCAGGTTCAAGCGATTCTCCTGCCTCAGCTTTCCTGAGTAGCTGGGATTACAGGCATGTGCCACCATGCCTGGCTAATTTTGTATTTTTAGTACAGATGGGGTTTCTCCATGTTGGTCAGGCTGGTCTCGAACTCCCAACCTCAGGTGATCCACCCACCTTGGCCTCCCAAAGTGCTGGGATTACAGTTGTGAGCCATCACACCTGGCAAATTCATTCGTATAATCTTGCGACCCTCACGACTACTGCCCTCATGGACCCTGGGCATGCCTCACCCGAATTACAGAAATTCCCTCCCAGCTGGTAAACATGCTTGTGTGTGGCTCTCCTTCATTCCATCCTCCCTGGTTTAGCCAGAGAAATAATTCTAAAATGTACACATCCCAAAGCATCTCATTTTCCTGCATGCAGTCTCTCATCATCCGTTCACTAACTGGAGGACAACATCTGAATTTATTAGTGAGCATACAAAGGCTTTTCATCCGCTGAACCCAGCCCATCCGCTACCATTTCCCTGGTCTCCAGTCAGAACTAGTGACCGTCCCATAAACAGGTTCTGCTGGACTTCCAGTCAAGATGGAGCGGTGAGTTCTCTATTCCAACCACAAAGCAACAGTAAATAAAACATTCTCACATGTAACCCAACACACACAGTTGGGCTCAAAAACAAGGCAAGCTTTCTGTGAGCCAGAAGCAAGAACAGGGCCCAAAATCACTAAATGGGGCTGTAACCGACATGCTGCTGGGCTCTGAGTCCCAAGAGTTTGTTAGAGAAGCCAGGAGCGCAGTTACCTTAGAAAGGGCAGTGACTAAGATGAACACCAGGGGCCTTCTGGGGGCCAAGAATGTTCTTTTTGTGCTCTGGGGGTTTGTTACACAGGGAGCATTCACTTTGCGAAAACTCATCGAGGTGCCCCTTTACGATTCATGTGCGTTTCTGTATGTCTGTCGTATTTCAATAGAAATGTTTACTTGAAAAACGTTGTCCTGAGAGAAAGCCAAGAGGAAGACCCTGCTTTTAGATGCTGGAGACCAGGGTAGGGTGAGGTAAGGTGGGGTGGAAATAGAGCACAGCCTCAAAGTGAGGACCCGTGCCAAGCCACCCACAGCTCCTCATCTGGATTGGCATCATTCTGGCACAGAAGAAGGAACCATGAAACAACACGTAAGAGCTGGCACTGGAACAGCGGCTCAGGAAAATGGGTGGAGGCGACCACAAAACTATAAACTGCGCATTCAGGAAGAGGAGGAAAAAAGACAAAAACAAAACAAATCAAAGGGGGAAAACCGGCACTAGAAATGGATCTGCAAATCAAAATTCCAAAACACATTTTAACAATGAAAAAGTCTAATGCTAAGAAAGACGGTAAAATCAATAAACAACATGAATTCATTCCAGTTGACATCAGTTTTAAGAGCAGAAGTCGTAAAATCTATCAGTTTTATAGAGTAGTAGTAAAATCTATCAGTTTTATAGAAGATAGGTTTTGCAGTATATATGAATTTACATTTCTCAAGGAAATCATAAAAACAAAAATAAGCAATAAATATTAGATGAAAATAGGAATGGAACAAGAAGAAGTGGGAATAAAAAAGATTAGGAAAAGCCCAGGCGCAATGACTCACGCCTGTAATCCCAGCACTTTGGGAGGCCAAGTCGGGTGGATCACCTGAGGTCAGGAGTTCGAGACCACCCTGGCCAGCATGGTGAAATCCTGTCTCTACTGAAAATACAAAAATTAGCCAGGCCATGCCTGTAATTCCAGCTACTCAGGAGGCTGAAGCAGGGGAATTGTTTGAACACGGGAGGTGGAGGTTGCAGTGAGCCGAGATCACACCACTGCACTCCAGCCTGGGTGACAGAGTGAGACTCTGTCAAAAACAAACAACCAACTAAAAAAAAAACAAAAACAAAACAAAACAAAAAAACTGGAAATCTTAGACAAAAAAAATAGCCATTGAATTTTTTAAGCCTCAGTATTCAGGTTAAACTCTAGACTGAGTGAGGTCAGAGAAAAGATGATGAAATGGGGGATAGTATGGAAAAATTTATCCAAAATGAAGTACAAAGAGGCAAAGAAGGAAAAATATGAAAGACAAGACATAAGTAGATTAAGGGACTCTAGCCTAAGAGAGATCTAGAAGAGGAGAATAGAGAAGCTGGCTTTATGTATTTATTTTTATTTTTTGTTTCTGTTTCTATTAGCATCTTGCTACCCTCTTCTAAACTTTGTACCAGAGATTTGGAAGGGAGATTGGAGATGAGTCATTTTCTTCCTCCAGCAGAGGCAGTGGGTGTCTAGACTCGGTCAGACATAGTTTACACAGAGTGGCTAAACTCCATTCCCCTGCCACCCATGAACCTCAGGATGCAGGATAAGTGTGATACCAGCAGAGATTTCCTCCAGTTCTCTGACATCTATTAATAGATGATAACAGCAACTTCTAGACTCTCTGGACGGTAGCTACAGTGGTCAATCTGAAAGTTACATGCATCCCCTGATTTTCTTTTTTTGTTGTTAGCACCCAATTCCCTATATTCAACCCCTTTCTGCTTGAAATACCTAGATTAGTTTCTATGTTCTTTACTGATAAAGGCATAATGGCTGTATTTGAAGATATACCACCCTTCCACATAAAATAGACCCAAAAAATAAAGAGTTATAAAACAGGAGGAAAAGATCACAACAAGTTCAGGAGACCCAACATCCAAATAGAGTTCTAGAAACAGAACTTGGGGGGAAACTGAGGGAAGGAATTCAGCAAAAATTCAAAAAGTGTTCCCAGAAAAAAAGGACAGAAATTTGTCAATTAAAAGAGCGCACCTAGTGCACAGCACTAAGGATGAAAATGGAGCCATGACAAAGCACATCATAATGAAATTTCGGAACATGAGGGATAAAAAGAAGATCCTATAAGCATCCATAGATGGGGACAAACAGTTGTATACTCAGTTATCAAGAATCAGAATTCATTCAGACCACTCAAAAGCAAAAATAGAATCTGGAAAATAATGAAGCAATGCCCTTGAAATTCTAAAGGAAAAATTATTTCTAACATAAAATTTCACACTCAAAGTTGCAATCACGCGTAAAGATAGAGAAAAAAATATTTTACACATGTACAAATAATTTTTGTGATGTATTTCCTTAGTATCTTCTCTCAGGAAGCGACTGAAGGATGTGTTTTACCAAAAATAAGAAAGCAAAAAGAGGAAGCTATGGAATACAAAACCAAACCTGGAAAGAGAGAAAGAATCCCTAGGACAATGATGAAAGGGGACACCAAGGTAAGAGCTGTGTAATGAGTGTGGAAGGCAACCAGTCCGGATTGCAGCAGATCAGAATGCTCCAGGAAAGATTCCCTCAAGAAGATAAAAGTGATAAACTGGCCGGGCGCGGTGGCTCATGCCTGTAATCCTAGCACTTTGGGAGGCCGAAGCGGGCGGATCACCTGAGGTCGGGAGTTCCAGACCAGCCTGGCCAACATGGTGAAACCCCGTCTCTACTAAAAATACAAAAATTAGCTGGGCGTGGTGGCACACACCTGTAGTCCTACTTGGGAAGCTGAGGCAGGAGAATCGGTTGAATCCAGAAGGCAGAGGTTACAGTGAGCTGACATGGCGCCACTGCACTCCAGCCTGGGGGATAGAGTGAGACTCCGTTTAAAAAAAAAAAAAAAAAAACAAGTGATAAACTACTTAATGTTTGGATGCACTGAAAGAAGGTTTATACATGGCCAGGCACGGTGGCTCACACCTGTAATCCCAGCACTTTGAGAGGCTGAGGCAGGCACATCACCTGAGATCAGGAGTTCAAGACCAGTCTGGGCAACATGATAAAACCCCATCTCTACCAAATATACAAAAATTAGCCAGGTGTGGTGGTGCACAGCTGTAGTCCCAGTTACTCAGGAGATTGAGGTAGGAGAATCACTTGAACCTGGGAGGCGGAGGTTGCAGTGAGCCAAGATCGTGCCACTACACTCCAGCCTGGGTGATGAAAAAAAAAGGTTTATATAACTTGGACTAAATTAGTAGTAAGAATATAAAAAATGAAGCAAATGAAAAAGGAAGACAATCATGAACTCCAGGGAAAATAAAAAGTTGTGCAGAAAAGGAAAAATAATTAATCACAGTGTTACAATAGTCATAGTAATATAAATATTTGATATTGATCTCATCAAAATTATAGTACTGAAGGGATTAAGGGACAAAATAGTGTATGTGTAGTGGTGGAGAAGGGGGTGGAAGAGAGCCAAAGCTTTATTGTCCATAGAGAGAAGACCATAAGTAAAAGCTATAGTTGAAAAATGAACATACGCATATTATTTAGAGAGAAAGAGATAAACACCAAAAAAAACTAGCTGAAAGAGTTGAAAAAGGAGGGGGGAGGATCAGTTGAGCCCAGGAACTCTCGGTTGCCGTGCACTATGATCACAACTGCGAGTAGCCACAGGACTTCAGCCTGGGCGACATAGCAAAACTCCGTCGCAATCAATCAATCAATGAGCTGAAAAAGGTTGCCTCTGAAGAAAGGGAAATGTGAGGCAAGGAGTAGGGAACTGCTGTTTTTCATAATAAGTCTTATAGACCAATTTAACTCTTTATGTGTATGTGTGATTTCATATAAAGATAAAGCTAAAAAAATAAGATCAGAACTTAATGAAACAAAAAACAAACAATAGAAAGGATAATGTAAAATGCTGGTCCTTGGGGGAAAATTAATAAACCAGACAAATCTCTAGCAAGCCTGATCAATGAAAAAAATAGAAAAGAAAGAAAGGAGGCTGGGCACCATAGCTCACGCCTGTAATCCCAGTACTTTGGGAAGCTGAGGCAGGCAGATCACCAGAGGTCAGGAGTTCGAGAACAGCCTGGCCAACATGGTGAAACCCCGCCTCTACTAAAAATACAAAAATTAGCTGGGCATGGTGGCGCATGCCTATAGTCCCAGCTACTCAGGAGGCTGAGGCAGGAAAATCACTTGAACCTGGGGTGCAGAGGTTGCAATGAGCCGAGATAACGCCACTGTACTCCAGCCTGGGCAACAGAGGGAGACTCGTCTCAAAAAAAAAAAAAAAAAAAAAGGAAAGGATGCACTAACAATATCAGGAATAAAAAATTACTATTTCCACCTACACAGAAGATTTGAAAATTTTTGTGAAAAGCTTTATGTATTAAATACTTCAGATAAAATGGATAATTTTCTAGGCATAAATAGCCAAAACGATGCAAAAATAAATGGAAAGCCTAACTAAACTAATTACCATCAAACTTTTTGAACTGGTAATCAAAAGTCTCTTGCCTTAATGCTGGGCACAGTGGTTCAAACCTGTAATCCCAGCACTCTGGGAGGCCAAGGCAAGTGGATCACCTGAGGTCAGGAGTTCCAGACCAGCCTGGCCAACATGGTGAAACCCTGTCTCTACTAAAAACACAAAAATTAGCTGGGCATGGTGGCGGGCACTTGTAATCCCAGCTATTCAGGTGGCTGAGGCAGGAGAATCACTTGAACCGGGGAGGCAGAGGTTGTGGTGAGCTGAGATCGTGCTGCTGCACTCCAGCCAAAGCAAGACTCCAACTCAAAACAAAAAAAGAAAAGGCTCTTGTCCTAAATGATATCTGTCCCAGATGGTTTTAGAAACTCATTTTCTTAAACCACTAAGGCACAGATAAACTGTTTGTTTGTTTGTTTGTTTGTTTGTTTGGAGGTGGAGTCTCCTTTTGTTACCCAGGCTGGAGTGCAGTGGCACAATCTTGGCTCACTGCAACCTCCACCTCCCGAATTCAAGCCATTCTCCTGTCTCAGCCTACTGAGTAGCTGGGATTACAGGCACACACCACCATGCCCGGCTAATTTTTGTATTTTTAGTAGAGATGGGGTTTCACCATATTGGTCAGGCTGGTCTCAAACTTCTGACCTCAGGTGATCCGCCCGCCTTGGCTTCCCAAAGTGCTGGGATTACAGGTGTGAGCCACTGCACCCAGCCACAAATAAACTCTTAAAAAAAAGTTTTCTGTTCCTGTGCCATTTGTCCTCCTAAATTATTCTTCTGGTAAGATTTTCTGTAGAGCACAGGATAGCCCAGTTACGGCCTGCATCTTCCAACCTTCCTTGCAACTGAGGTGTGTCTGACTAAATGCTCACCTTTGATGATGAGCAAATGTGGTGCCATTTCTCCATTACTTGCTATGGAGAAATGGCGATTCCTAGGGTTGCTGTAACAAAGTATCACAAACTGGAGGATCAAACAACAGAAATGTATTCCCTCACAGTTTTGGAGGCTGGAAGTCCAAGATCAAGGTGTCAGTAGGGTTGGTTCCTTCTGATGATTGTGAGGGGAAGTCTGTTCCACCCTGTGTCCTAGCTTCAGGTGGTACACTGGCAATCTGTGGCATTCCTTAGTGTCTCTCTACATTCATGTTCACATGGTGTTTTCCCTCAGGTGTGTCCAAATTCCCCCAACCCTCTTTTTTTTTTTTTTTTTTTTTTAATTTTGAGATGGGGCCTCACTCTGTCACCCAGGCTGGAGTGCAGTAGTACCATCATGGTTCACTGCAGCTTCAACCTCCCGGGCTAAAGTGATTCTCCCACCTCAGCCTCCCAAGTAGCTGGGACCTACAGGCATGTGCCACAACACCCAGCTAATTTTTTTTTTTTTTTAATTTTTATTGTTAATAAAGATGGGATCTTGTTCTGTTGCCCAGGCTGGTCTCCAACTTCTGGCCACAAGTGATCCTCCCTCCTCGGCCTAGGAAAGTGCTGGGATTATAGGTGTGAGCCACTGTGCCTGGCCCAAATTTCCTCTTTTTATAAGAACACCAGTCACATTGGATTAGTGGCCCACCCTACTCCAATATCACTTTAAACTAATTATATCTGTAATGACCCTATTTTCAAATAAGGTCACATTCTGAGTTACTGGGAGTTAAAACTTGAACATATGAATCAAGGGGACAACATTTGCTTCAAAGGAAATTGCTCACCCTCCTCTTTCCTATCCTCCCTTTCCTGAGGGTTGCACACATACAGAGCTGAACCTGTGTTGCCATGTAGATGAAGACAAACACCTTTAGGAGATGGCACAGAAACAAAACAGGAAACCCTCAGGTCTCCAAATGACTGCACCGAGTAGAATTGCCCCATCAGCCTGGACCATTCATTTCTAGAGTGTGAGCAAGAAGTACACTTCCATCTTATTTAAACAACCGTATTTCAGTTTTTTTGGTGGTGGTGGTGTTATAGGAGCTTAGCTTTTACCCTAAGAAATACAGCTACTCAACTCACTTCATTAGGATCTTAACTATAATACCAAAACTTCATAAGCACTGAATAAAAAATACAGTAGAGCAATATCATTTATGATCATAGATGCAGAGCTTCCAAATGAAATACTAGCATATTAAATTCAAGGAAAGATATATATACCATGACCTAGTTGTGTTTAATTTCTGGAATTCAAAAATGGAATGTTAGACATAAAATCTATTAAATTATACTACTTTAACAAATTAAAGGAGAAAAAATCAACTTAACACAATGGATGAAGAAAAAATATTTGCTAAAACTCAATACAGTTGAACACGTAGACATGGAGTATATAGTTAATGTGAAGGAATTATTTTTAAATGTGTTTAGGTTTGATAATGGTACTATGGTTATTTTTCTTTTTTCAATAATTCTTATCTACAGATGCAGCTGGGCGCAGTGGCTCACCCCTGTAATCCCAGCACTTTGGGAGGCTGAGGTGGATGGATCACCTGAGGTCAGGAGTTCGAAACCAGCCTGGTCAACATGTTGAAACCTCAACTCTACTAAAAATACAAAAATTAGCCAGGCGCGGTGCCACATGCCTGTAATCCCAGCTTCTAGGGAAACTGAGGCAGGAGAATCGCTTGAGCACAGAAGGTGGAGATTGCAGTGACCAAGATCACACCACTGCACTCCAGCTTGGGTGACAGAGCAAAACTTCATCTCAAAAAAAAAAAAAATTGCACTTGAGCTGGGCACAGTGGCTCATGCCTGTAATCTCAGCACTTTGGAAAGCCAACGAGGAAGATTGCTTGAGGCCAGGAGTTCGTGACCAGACTAGGCAACATAGTGAGACCCTGTCTCTACAAAAAATGAAAAAGTTAGCTGGGCATAGTGACATGTGCCTGTAGTCCCAGCTACTCAGGAGGATACATACACATATACACACACACACACATATATATACACACACACACTCAAGAGATAACTTATAAAAATTTAAAGACAAGATTGGCCAGGCACGGTGGCTCACGCCTGTAATCCCAGCACTTTGGGAGGCTGAGGTGGACAGATCACGAGGTCAGGAGATCGCGACCATCCTGGCTAACATGGTGAAACCCTGTCTCTACTAAAAATACAAAAAATTTGCCGGGCGTGGTGGCAGGCACCTGTAGTCCCAGCTGCTTGGGAGGCTGAGGCAGGAGAATGGCGTGAACCCGGGAGGCAGAGCTTACAGTGAGCCGAGATCACGCCACTGCACTCCAGCCTGGGCAACAGAGCAAGACTCCCTCTCAAAAAAAAAAAAAAATTAAAGACAAGGACTGAAAGAAGGTGTGTGCAGTATACTCAATGACAAGGGGGTTAGTATCCATATTTTATAAGGACCCCTTAAAGATCAATTTAAGAGAGCGTCCAGTTCCAGCAAGATGGAGTAAGCATGCACTACCTTGTCTGTCACATGCAACACAACTATAAACCCTGGCTAGGCTGCATAGGGAGCAGCTAACTATCCAAGCACACTGAAAAGTAAATGGTAATAGGCCAACTGGGGAAGGATACCAGAATTCAAAGTTCCACCTAACCAGTGGTATGTTTACCATTTGTTTTCCTTCAGTATTACCTGGCCAAAACCCAGGAGAACACATCAGATGAGAACAGAAAGGAAAACCAAGAGAAAACTTTTTCTAGTGTGAGAAAGGATAAAAGGGAACCAGTAAGAGAAAGAGTCCTCTATTTTGCTTTTGTTTTTTCTTCTCTTTTTTTGTGCTCTCCCATTTCAGCCCGCAGTCACTATCACAATAGAGGCACAATACTGGCAGATGTCTGAAAATCAGAAGAAAACAGAGGAGCTGTGGTCTTGAGAATGTGGGGTACATTCCCATTGCTTATCACTCTCTAATTTGAATGACTGCAGATTTCTCATCAGAAACCACAGAAAGCAGAAGGGGGAGAAATGACATTTTTAAAGTGCTAAAAGGAAAAAATCTATGAACTGATAATATCCAATTTAATGCAATCACTATGACTATTTCATCTGTACTTTTTGTACAGAAATGGACAAGCTGATTCTAAAATATATATGAAATCACAAGGGACCCCAAATAGCCAAATCAATTTTGAAATTAAGCAAGCCAGAAGACACATGTCCTGATTTCAAAACTTACTACAAAGCTACAGTAATCAAAATAGTGTAGTACTGGCATAAAGATAAACATACAGATCAATGGACTAAAACAGAAAGTCCCAGAAATAAACCCACACAACCATAGTCAATAGATTTTTAACAAGGGTTTCAAGATCATTCAATGCGAAAAAAAAAATCACCCTCAACAAATGTTGCTGGGACAACTAGATAACCAGATGCAAAAATTAACTCAAATTGGACCAAAGACCTAAATACAAACACTAGATCTAAACATCTCTCAGAATAAAACACAGCTGTAAATCTCTGTGACCTTGGATTTCGCATGGAGACTTTGATGTGACACTAAAAGCATAAGCAACAAAGTTAAAAATGGGTAAACTGAATAAACAAAAAATAAACTTTTGTACATCAAAAGACACTATATCGGGCCAGGTGCGGTGACTCATGCCTGTTATCACAGCACTTTGGGAGGTGGAGGTGGGCAGATCACCTGAGGTCAGGAGTTCGAGATCAGCCTGGCCAACAGGATGAAACCCCATCTCTAAAATACAAAGATTAGCTGGGCGTGGTGGTGCACACCTGTAGTCTCAGCTACTTGGAAGGCTGAGGCAGGAGAATCACTTGAACCTGGGAGGTGGAGGTTGCAGTGAACCAAGATCACGCCACTGTACTACAGCCTGGGTGATGGAGCAAGACTCTGTCTCAAAAAAAAAAAAAAAAAAAAAAAAAAAAAAACCATATCAAGAAAATAAAAATACAGCCTATAGACTGGGGAAACAGAGCTAGATATATGTTTATAAATCATATATCTAGTATTCAGGATATATAAAGAACTCTTAAAACTCAACAATAGTTTGGGTACAGTGGCTCACGTCTATAATCACAACAGTTTGGGAAGCCGAGGCAGGAGGATCACTTGAGCCCAGGAGTTTCAGACCAGCCTGGGCAACATAGGGAGATCCTGTCTCTACAAAAATTTAAAATTAAAAAAAATAAACCTCCACAGCAAAAACAAATAATCTCATTCGAAATTGGGCAAAAGAGGCCAGGCATGGTGGCTCACACCTATAATCCCAATATTTTGGGAGGCCAAGGCAGGTGAATCACTTGAACGTAGGACTTTGGACCAGCCTGGGCAACACGGTGAAACCCTGTCTCTAAAAAAAATACAAAAAAATTTAGCCCGGCATGGTGGCATGCTGCCTGTAGTCCCAGCTACTCAGGAGGCTGAGGTGGGAGGATCACCTGAGCCCGGGAAGGTCAAGGATGCAGTGAGCCGTGATTGTGTCACTGCACTCCAGCCTGGGCAACAGAGCCAAACCCTGTCTCAAAAAAAAAAAAAAAAAAAAAAAAAAAAAGCAAAAGAACAGACATTTCTCTAAGGAAGATATACAAATGACCAATAAGCACATGAAAAGATGCTCAAAATCATTAGTTATTAGGGAAATGCAAATTTAAAAAACAATAAAATGCCACTTCACACCCATTAGGATGGCTATAATCAAAAAACAAAACAAAAAATACTAAGGGCTGGTAAGGATGTAGAGAAATTGAAACCATCATACATTGTTGGTGAGAATGTGGGATGGTGCAGCTGCTACAGAAAACAGTTTGGCAGTTCCTCAAAAAGTTAAACATGGGATGTTTGAAAATTTAAAACGTACATATGACCTAGCAATTCAACCCCAGGTATACAACCAAGAGAATTCAAAACAGGTGTTCTAACAAAAACTTGTACAGGATTGCTCATAGCAGCATTATTTATAATAGCCAAAAGGAAAAAACTACTCAAATGTCCATCAACTGATGATGAATGGATAAACAAAATATGTTATATTTCTACAATGGAATATTATTCAATCATAAAAAATGAAATGTTGATAAATGCCAAAATGGACGAACCTTTAAAACATGCTAAGTGGCTAGGTAGGGTGGCTCATGTCTGTAATCCCGGCACGTTAGGAGGCAGAGGTGGGTGGGTTACTTGAGCCTGGGAGGTTGAGGCTGCAGAGAGCTGAGATCACGCCACCGCACTCTAGTCTGGGTGACAGAGCAGACCCTGTGTCAAAAAAGAAAGAAAAGAAAAAACAGAAGAGAAGAGAAAAAAGACAGGAGAGGAGAGAAGGCAAGGGGAGGGGAGGGGAATGGAGCCGGGGAGGGGAGGGGAAGGGAGGGGAGGAGAGGAGAGAAAGGAGAGAAAAGAGGAGAGGACAGGAGAGAAAAGGGGAGGGGAGGGGAGGGGAAGGGAGGGGAACATGCTGGCCAGGCGCAGGGGCTCAAGCCTGTACCCAGCACTTTGGGAGGCCGAGGTGGGCGGATTGCCTGAGCTCAGGAGTTAGAGACCAGCCTGGGCAACACGGTGAAACCCTATCTCTACTAAATACAAAAAATTAGTCGGGCGTGGCGACGTATACCTGTAGTCCCAGCTACTCAGGAGGCTGAGGCAGGAGAATTGCTTGAACCTGGGAGGTGGAGGCTGCAGTGACCTGAGATTGCGCCACTGCCCTCCAACCTGGGTGGCAGAGCTACACTCCCAAAAAAAAAAAAAAAAGAAAAGAACATGTTAAGTGAAAGAAGCCAGACAAAAAAGGCAACACATTAACACATTGTATGATTCCATTTAATGAAATATCCAGAATAAACAAATCCATAGAAATGAAGAGCAGCTGAGGGGTTGCTGGGACTGGGGAAGGGGGAGAAATCAGGAATGACTGCTTCATGGGTACAGAGTTTTCAGGTGATGAAAATCTTCTAGAATTAGAAAATAGTGATGGTTGCACAGCATTATGAAAATACCAAAAGCCACTGAACTGTACACTTTTAAATGGTTAAAACAGTGAATTACATATTATGTGACAATTTTTTAAAGAATTCTGGCCGGCTGCGCTGGCTCACGCCTGTAATCCCAGCACTTTGGGAGGCCGAGGCGGACGGATCACGAGGTCAGGAGATCCAGACCATCCTGGCTAACAGGGTGAAACCCCGTCTCTACTAAAAATACAAAAAAAATTAGCTGGGCGTGGTGGCGGGCGCCTGTAGTCCCAGCTACTCGGAGGCTGAGGCAGGAGAATGGCGTGAACCCGGGAGGCGGAACTTGCAGTGAGCCGAAATCGCGCCACTGTACTCCAGCCTGGGCGTCAGAGCGAGACTCCGTCTCAAAAAAAAAAAAAAAAAAAAAAAATTCTATATCCAGTGAAAATATTCTTCAAGAATAAGAGGGAAATAAAGGCGTTCTCAAGTGAAAAATCAAGAGAATTTATCATTAGCAGACCTGTTATAAAATAAATACTAAAGAAAATTCTTCAAACGGAAGAAAGAGGATACCTGAAAGACATTTAGAACA